TACACAAACATTAACAGTTACAGGAAGTTATTACACAAAAAGGTGAGCTCCAGAGGATGACTGTATTGGACACTTTTCCTGGGGTTAGGATGCTCCACAGAATCAACTTAAAGGAGGAAGAGTTAAATTTTTGGCTTACAGTTTTAGAGAGTTCAGTCCATCATGGTAAGGAAAACATGGCATAGTTCGTGGTGATGGGTAAATGTGGCTGGGTTAGGGTGGATATCTTGATGAATCAACAAGCAGAGATCTTGGCTCAGAAGCAGAGGTATCACTTTGAAGGCCCACCCAGGACACCCCCATTTTGTAAGTTAAACCATCACTTCAGAAGTTCCACAACCTTGTGAGATAGTGTTACAAGCTAGCAATGAAGTATTCAAACAAGTGAACCCCTGAAGCTGCCTACTTACCTCAGTGGCCTCAATGTTGATTAAGTTGCGAACATAAGTAAAACTTAAATTGATCTTATAATTGCCTAAACAACACAGAACTTATGTTGTTCGAGCATCAGTTGTTCTAGCAATCAGTCAGTCAACAAACTCTAAGTAGAGAGGCCCCATAGGACATAGCAAACAAAGCAACTGAGATCAATTAAACATTTCCTTTGTTTTACACGTTTTCCTCTTTAACAGCTATCCCTTTGGGCTCTCTCCTGAACCTGTACTGGTTTGGAGCTGGGGACGTCATGTGCCATTGTTCTCTCCAATAAACTTATACAAATTTTTATTGTTCATCAGTTTACCTTTTCACAGAGTTCATCCGCCAAGGGAGGCATTAAAAAATAGTTATTCGCCAGGTGGTGGTGGCACAAGCCTTTAATCCCAGCACTTGGGAGGCAGAGGCAGGCGGATCTCTGTGAGTTCAAGGCCATCATGGGCTACAAAGTGGGTTCCAGGAAAGGCGTCAAGGCTACACAGAGGAACCCTGACTTGAAAAACAAAACAAACAAACAAAAAAAGAGAGAGAGAGAGAAATAGTTATTTTAGATCAACTTGTAATATATCATACTTAACTCTCAGTCCACACTGCTTAGTACAAAGTAAATAATGAGAAGGTGAACTTTTGGCTGATTGGATGTGAAGAACACTGGTATTAGGACAGTGTGGTGGTTTGAAAGAAAATGGTCCCCAAAGGGAGTGGCACTATTATGAGGTATGGATTTGTTAGGATTGGTATGGCCTTGTTGGAGGAAGTGTGTCACTGTAGAGGTGGGCTATGAGGTCTCTTATATGTTCAAGATGCCATCCAGTGTCTCAGACCACTTCCTGTTGCCTGCAAGCCAAGATACAGGACAGTTCCTTACTTCTCTTGCATGGTGTCTACCTATACACTACCATGTTGCATCATGATGTTAATGGACTAAACCTCTGAAAATGTAAGCCACCCCAACTAAATAATTTTTCCTTTATAAGGGTTGCCATGGTCATGGTATCTCTTCATAGCAATAGAAACTCTAACATGGACTGGAAGCTTTAACAATGTGTCCTAGGTTTCTAGCCGGGGCTAATAGAGTCTGTCCCATTAATCATGACACAAAACAAGTGGAAGAAATGTTAATATTTAAGGAGACAATGGGTTAATTACAAAACATTATCTAGGTGAAGGAACTTTGTAACACAGTTGTCCACAACCTTTAACAGAATGAAGATGTGTTAGAATCATATTAAAATTATTCTGATTTGGTGGGTGTCAGGTTGGGAGCTGGCATCTGTATTTCTCACAGACTCCTGGCTAATGTAAATAATGTCTCAGGAACACACTAGAGTGGTAAGTTTGGGGTCAATGCACAGCAGCAGTTTCATTTCTGAACCACCTAAGGAATTTTGAAAAGTCTACTTTCTTTCACAGCTAATATTTTGATCATATTTAAGCATTTGCTAAGGATAAAGTTGCCGATGTTGTCACTATATACATTCTAAATGTGACTTCTTTCCTTTAAACATATCTACAGATGCATCATCTGTAGATGATTCTCATCATCACTAATTAGCAATATACTTGAACAATTTTTTCTTACATAGCTCCAAATGTCATCATTGCTTTTCCATGTTGAACTCACATTTCCATCCTATATTTCCCAAAAAATTTTATCCTAAAGGGATAGGCATTTGTACTGAGATTTTTCATTGCTCACTTTGCTTAACTATTCCAAACACTCACCTATAACTTAACCTTTTAGAAATTTAGAATTTATCATGTTTATAATCTCTTAGTGTTAAAATTTCTTCTCAGATTATTATGAATATGAACCCTTGACAATTGGCCAAAAGAATGCATGATTCAAATATTAGAAAATACTGAATATAAGAGAATGGCATTGGAAATGTATTTTTTAGTGAGACATTTGAAACTGGCTTTCTTTTTAAATTAGCCCATGCATCAAGAAGAAAATGTTACATTGTTGGAGAAGAGAGAGGGCACCAGCAATCCTTTCCCCCCCTATTTCGAGTTTTTGAAATAGTACTGTTTCTTGATTCCATGATCCTTTCCAGATGCAGACTAAAGTTACAGAATAGTCACTTATGAAATAAAATCTTTAAGATACAGTAGTGGGTGTGTTCTTTAAATTCTTTTTCACAGTATTCGAAAGCAAAGGGTTGGAGACCATGGGATGATCGTGCTGTATGAAGCACCAGGAACCTGAGAGCTATGCTTTTCTTTTGTTAGAAGGGAAAAAACGGCCGGGCGGTGGTGGCGCACGCCTTTAATCCCAGCACTCGGGAGGCAGAGCCAGGCGGATCTCTGTGAGTTCGAGGCCAGCCTGGGCTACCAAGTGAGTCCCAGGAAAGGCGCAAAGCTACACAGAGAAACCCTGTCTCGAAAAACCAAAAAAAAAAAAAAAAAAAAAAAAAAAAAAAAAAAAAAAAAAAAAAAAAAGAAGGGAAAAAACGGGGGCGAGGAGGGAAAGAGAATTGACATAATTCTGACCCCAGGCATCATTTAAAGGGGACAATCATAAGGGAAAGTACATATTGAAATAGACGATTTGTAAGTCTACATATGTAAGTCTGCATATGCCTACAAACTCCTTGGAACAGCTGAACATCAGAGTCCAAATATCCCATTTTGAAGACTGCCACTATGGAGAACTGAGAACATATGGTGCTCTGGGCAGAGGCCAGGTTGATGGGGAAGCAGAGGGCTACATAGACATTTGTGCTACATAGAATCTATTAATTCAGACTTGTGGGAATAGAGCATGTATCGAAAGATATTTTGTTCTATATATGGAAAAGAGAAAAGGGACAAATGATCAAATGAGAATGTAGGGAGCTGAGAAATACAAAACTGCTTCACACCCTTGAGGACACCCATGTGCGCTTAAGTAACTGATGCACAGTTATAGCCTGTGTTTATCTGATAGAGTTGGCTCCTGGCTCAACAGCACTTTGTCAGATCGGTTCTTATTGGTCAGTATTCAGTGTGCCTGAGCTAACGAAATTCATTACTGTAATAGAGAGAGGGAGGAAGAAATCCAATTTGGCCCTTTTACTTAGTCTGGCTGACTCCAGAAGTTTCTTCCAACACTAAGGTGTATTGATTCTATGACTCAGTTACATTTTAAAGGTATGTAAAATAAAGTGATACCACTCTGTGTCTCTGTGTTTCCGTTTCTGTCTCTGTCTCTCTGTCTCTCTCTCTCCCCCTCATTCTTTGTCTTAAAAAGGTCTGTTCATTACACATGGCTTGGAAAGGCCTCATGTGTGCTTCATTTGTTTTCACTGGGAGGTCACATGGGAGAAGACTTTTACTATTAAATTGGTTGTGGGATTCTCTTTGTAACTTTATCAAATATTCAACAAGGAAATGCCTGTAACCCTGTGCTATGGAATGCCTGTCTGAGCTGAACATACAGAAAGAAGGCAAGTAGAGAATTTCAGGGTCATTGCAAAGTCCTCTGTCTGACACCCCAGATCCATTACGTGTCTGCCTCTTTGATTTCTCTCCCTGTCTGGGCTGCAGGCTTCTGTGTGTTCTGTTGGTATCTGAATATGATCAAATGCCTTGTGACATTTAAACTTAAGCAGCAAGACATTCCTGAAAACAACTGTGGTTCAATATTTTCCACAGAACTAATAATAATTCTGCTGCCTTCACAACTATAAAGAGCAACGGTTGCCTCATGGAGAATGTACAGGAGATTGGATTTTCTAAGAATCACAGGGCCAGAAGAGAAATCTCTTTGTTCATATGAGTCTATATGTTTTTTTTAAATTCCCTGTGTCCTAAGAGAAAACTGAGTGAAGGGTCATTTATAAAATGTTCTAGATTCTCGTTTTGACAGTTGCTACATATCCTCTTCCACCTCTATCCTGTGTTTCCATTTCTGACCTAACCATTTTCATCTGCACCCTTACCAGTTAAATAGGTTAGAGGAGATGTGGAGGCTACAATGCCCCAAGCCAGCAGGGAGGATAAGCATGGATGAAAACTTTGCTTTGCTGCAAACCTTCAATGCAGAAAGGCAAAGCTGTTTTTACCTAACACGTCTTTTATTTGATTTTCATCTGCCAAAGCACACTCACTGTATAAAAGTCCTTGACGCTCAAAACTGAATGTGAATGTTTATATCTTTACCCATTTTTCGCTAAAACTTTGATCAAATTCTTGAAGAAAAAAATTCCCTCAAAGGTAAAGAACCATTAATATGATGGGCTGGTTTTGTTTTGTTTTCTTGTCACCATGGTATGAGTGACTTTCATAGTTATCCCAGTGAAGTTCAGGAGTCAGGGCACTTCCTAGCCCTGTCTTTTGATAACTGGGAAATTTAGCTAAACAAATACCAAACTATACCAAAATTCATGTCTTGTGCCATGTCCTCCTTTGAAACAATGCTCCTGCCTTGCTCCAGACAATCCTAGCTGCTTCTTCTTTTTGTGAATAAAACATCTTTCAGATACTACAAGAATCCATTCTCCTATAAGGACGACACCACTGTTCTTGTTTTGGATGTTGCCATTGTAGAGAGGGACACTGTGGCACAGAAAGGAGTCACTTACTTGGAGTCACTCAGGTGATATGTAGTGTGGTGAAGCCTACATTCATATAAGACAGTCTGCTTATGGAAGCTGGGCTCTGGGTTATCAAGCAGTTCCTCTTGGTTAGATGGCATCCATGGTGGTATAGCCAAGCTACCAAATAAATGGACAAAGAAAGACAGGTCTTCAGAAGACTAGCCTCAAGAGGGGAGCAATGGGGTGAGATCCTGCAAGCTTGATTTCCCAATATCCCTTTAGTTATCACCCCCGGGGATAATATTAGGACAGCTACTTAATACGTATCCTGTAAGATAGAAAGTTATTACTTAAAATATTCACATTTGTATCACTCAGGTGAAAATAATAGATACAAAGGGCTTTGGTTATGGAAATAATGATACTGTTATAATACTTGTAATTCCAATGAAAATAATGATACCATTAATATCAGAAACAAAATACTGGTAATAATTCATGAATAAATTCCAAGAAAAAACCTGAATGCAAAGGTGCCTCTAGTCTCCTTGATGTTGGAAAGATCACTTCTGCTTCTGACTGCCCAGCACTGCTTTCTTCCTGCTGCAGGTTTCTCTCATCAGCCTCTCTCTGTCCTGTCTTCCCACCCTTCTCTCTCACCTCTCTCTGTGTGGCTCCTTCCTCCCTTCTCCTCTCCTCTTTCCCCTCCCCTCTCTCCCTCCTTTGAACCTCCATCACTGGATTACAAAGACAGCAGTGTGCCCGGGAGAGTGCTGGAGGACTGCAGTGGGCGATGGAAGATAAGTTTTAACAAACTGTGTCTTTTTGCAGCTGCTGTTTGGAAAGCAGGCTTCCTGCCATGCTGAGGCTGAACTGCCAAATGCCTTATCCTGGGCTGAGCCCCAGGACCTCAGCCATAGACTGCTTTCTATGGCTTATTCCAAATGCAGTCCCTCGGCTGTGCTGCAAGCAATAAATATCTCTTTCTGTAATAGGGAACTGGGCACGTGAAATCTACCCGTTCATCCTTCACAGCCTCTACCCGCAGTCTCTTTATTTTCACCCAAATTACATTATTGGTCTTTAAGATAGGATCTTGCGGCATTTATCAAGTGTCTGTATGCCAGAGTTCTGGGTATTTGAATATTCTCAAATCCTCCAAGAGATAGATCAATTGAAAATCGTAGTTAGGGACTTATTAGCAAGATAGTAGGGAAGATATTTTTCTTCTCTAAGGACTATAGCCAGCTGAACCACATTGTTTAAACTTCTTAATTCCTTATTATTAAAGATAATAACTCAAGGTATAAGGTTAGAAAAGTTAGATTAGTTTTTTCATGTGATTCTATTATCTTACATCTGTGAGTGTTTTGCCTGCATGTGTTCTGCACACCATGTGTACATGCCTGGTGCTGTAGAGCCCAGAAGACAGCCCTGGATCCCCTGGAACTGGAGTTACAGATGGCTGTAAACTACCATGTGGGTGCTGAAAGTTGAAACTGGGCCCTCTGAAGGAGTATCCGGTGCTTTTAACCACTGAAACATCTCTCAAGCCAGAGATTTAGGGGTGTTTGTTTGTTTGGGGTTTTTAGTTTTCATTTTTCTGTTTTTTAACATGGACGAGTAGAACAACGCCCTCTATGAAGAAGGAATATGGCAGATAGAGCAGATAATAGTGATGGGAACCACAGCATCTGTTAATATTGTTCATTCAAACTAATTTTGGGGCCAGACAAAATAAACACAATTTTTCACTGCATATCATTTCCCTTTATGTCCCCAGATAGGCCTATAAACATATATGTTGTTCACTGACTTAAGAATGGGAAAATAAAAGTGAGTTTGGCCTTTAGTGTTTTTAATATTCTACACCTTAATCTAACATCTAACATGCTGAAAAATAGGCATTGTTATATATATGTTGATAGAATACATTTTTGATATGAGTCGAAACAATAAAAGCAGAGTATGGGCTTTTTCAAAGCAGAGACATATCCATATTTTGCATGTATATATATACACACACACAAATGTATGTATACATATAACTATGTAAGTATATTTGTATCTATTTTTTTATTTAGGCAAAGTTATGGAATAATATTCCTTGTGAGCAAGATACTGGAACATGAGAGAATGAAGCCTTTATTAATAACTTTATACTAATCTAAATTCTAATTTATTATTTTTTTGCCAAAACTATATATTTCCTTATGTAAAAAAACTAGTTTAAGGTGATGTGCAAATAAGCACTATCTTTACTCAGTGTATTACTTATTTTTCTTATTGCTATAACAGAATAACTGGGCAGAACCAACTGATGGGTAGAATGATTTATTTATTCTTGCTTATGTTTCAGAGGACACAGTACATCATGTCAGAGGAGGCATGCTGGCAGGCACTGTGGCTGTGGAAGTATAAGGATGTTTGTTCACATCTTTATGGATTAGAAAATCATAGAAGTAGGGATAGAACAAGGGCTGAGCTATAACCCATAATGTGACCCCTGTGCCTACCTACTAGGTCTCATGTCCCAAAAGTTCTACAACTTGCTGAAACAGACCACTACATGGGGAACAGTTGTTTAAATACATGAGCCTATGGGAGATATTTCCCATTCAAAACATAACACTCAGTAATTATACTTTTAGGATTTTTTTGTAGGATAATAACTAGCAAATTTTATAAGAAAATGCCTAGGAGGTTGTTTGTTGTAGTTTCTTTTTTTTTTTTTTAATGTTTTATAGTTTTTCACATCCTAAATCAGTTTCCCCTCTGTGGACTCCTCTTAGCTGCCTCCAACTTCCCCACTCCAATGGATCCTGTCCCCTCCATTTCCTCTTCAGAGAAGAGCATGTCTTCATGAAACATTAGCCAGATAGGGAAAAACAAGATACAAAAACCCAAGGTGAAAGCACTCATATCGATGCTGGAAAAGTTAACCCAACAGGAGGAAAAGAGTTTCAAGAGCAGGAAAAGAGTCAGAGATACACCAGTGCCCATTGTATGGACTCTCACAAGAACACCAAGCTAACAGCCACAACATACACACAGAGGACCTGGTGCAGACCCACGCAGGCCCCGTGCTTGCCACTTCAGACTCTGTGAGCCATTTTTAGTTGATTTGGTGGGCCAAGATCTTCTGGAGTCCTCTATCCCCTCTGATTCCTACAGTCTTTCCTCATCCTCTTCTGTGAGGTTCCCCAGTCTCAGAGGGGAGGGGCTCTTTCTCTCTCTCTCTGCATAATGTCTGGCTGTGAGTCTCTGCACCCACTCCCATCTGTTGCCAGAGGAAGCCACTCTGATGATAACTGAACAAGGCACCAATCTATGAGCATAGCACAATATTATTAGGAAGCATTTGTATTGATTTTCTGTTTTTCTTTTTGCCGGTTGTGTTTGGTCCCTAGGTGTGTGGACTGTCCTCTGTTTTCTGGCCATCCAGACAGTGTAGGGCATGAGCTCCTTCTCATGGCATGGGACTCAAACTAAACATTGGTTGGCCACTGCCACATGTTCTCTGACATTATTGCCTCAGCACATCTTGCAGGCAGGACAGACGATAGGTGGAAGGTTTTGTGGCTGGGCTGGTCTCCACATTTCTCTTTCAGTAACCTTAATTTACTTAGAGCTAATATCCACTTATGAGAGAATGCATACCATATTTGTCTTTCTGGGTCTGGATTACTTCATTCAGGATCATTTTTTTTTTCTAGTTGTACCCATTTGCCTGCGATTCATGTCATTTTTTTTTTAGCCCCTGAGTAATATTCCACAGTGTAAATGTACCACAATTTGTTTGTCCATTCTTCAGTTGAGGAACATCTAGGTTGTTTCCAGGTTCTGGTGATTATGAAGAAAGCTGCAATAAACAGTTGAGCAAGAGGCCTTGTGGTGGTGTCCTTTGGGTATATACCAAGAGTGTTATAGCTGGGTCTTGAGGTAAGTCAATTCCCAGTTTCTTGAGGAACTGCCATATTGATTTCCATAGTGGTTGTACAAATTTGCATTCCTACCAGCAATGGAGGAATGTTCTCTTTGCTTTATATCCTCTCCAACATAAGCTGTCACTTACGTTTTTTTTTTTTAAATCTTAGTCATTCTGATGGGTGTAAGATAGAATCTCAAAGTAGTTTTGATTTGCATTTCCCTCATAGCTAGGATGTTAAACATTTAAGTGTTTCACAGTCATTTGAGATTCCTCTATTAAGAATTCTCTGCTTAGATCTGTACCCCATTTTTAAATTGGATTATTTGTTTTTTAATCTATTTTCTTGAGTTTTTTATATATATTTTGAATATTAGACCTCTATGGGAAGTGAAGTTAGTAAAAATCTTTTCCCATTCTGTAGGCTGCCTCTTTGTCCAGTTGATGCTGTCTTTTGCCTTACAGAAGCTTTTCAATTTAATGAGGTCCCATTTATTGTTGATCTTAGTGTCTGCACTATTGTAGTTCTGTTCAGAAAGTTGTCTCATGTGCCAAGCCATTGGGTTCAAGGCTGTTCCTCACTTTCTCTTCTATCAGGTGCAATGTGTCTGTTTTCTGTTGAGGTCTTTGATGCACTTGGACTTGAGTTTTGTACAGGGTTATAGATATGGATCTATTTGCATTCTTCTACATACTGCCATCCCATTTGACCAGTACTATTTTTTTTAAGATAGTTTCTTTTTTCTTCTAGCATGTATTTCTGGTTTCTTTAAAAAATATCAGTTGTGCATAGGTGTGTAAACTTATGTCTGGATCTTCAATTCTATTCTATTGATTAACATATCTTTTTACACCAATACCATGAAGTTTTTATTACTAAAGCTCTGTAGTACAACTTGAAATCAGTGATGGTGATCCCTCTAGCAATTCTTCAGTTGTTCAGGATTGTTTTAGCTGTTCTGGGTTTTTTTTTCTCCATTTTAAGTTGAGAATTGTCTTTTCAATGTCTGTAAAGAATTGTGTTGGAATTTTGATTAAGATTGTACTAAATCTGTAGTTTGCTTTTGATATGATGGCCATTTTTACTTTGTTAATCGTACCGATTACTATGTTCATCTCCAATTGGAGATCTTTCCATCTTCTGACATCTTCCTCAATTTTTTTCTTAAAGACTTGAAGTTTTTTATCATCCAAGATTTTCACTTGCGTGGTTAGCATTACCCCAAGATATTTGAGGATATAGTGAAGGGTGTTTATTCCTGATTTCTTTCTCAGTCCCTTTGTCATTTGTATACAGGAGGGCTACTACTTTTTTGAGTTAATCTTGTATCCAGCCACTTTGCTGAAAGTGTTTATCAGCTGTAGGCGTTCCCCAGTATAATTTTTAGAGTCGCTTATGAATCATATCTTCTGCAAATAGTGATTCTTTGATGTCTTCCTTTCCAATTTGTATCTATTGATCTCCTTCAGCTGTCTTATTGCTCTATCTAGATCTTCAAGCACTATATTGAATAGATATGGAGAGAGTAGACAACCTTGTCTTGTCCTGATATTAGTGAAATTGTTTTGTTTTTCTTTATTTAATTTGATGTTGGCTATAGGCTTGCTCTAAATTGCTTTTATTGTGTTCTGATATGTCCCTTGTAGTCCTAATCTCTCCAACACTTTTATCATGAAAGAATGTTAGATTTTGTCAAAGGATTTTTA